AATCGACGCGTTTCAGAAAGGCGGGGCATAGAGGAGAAACAATAATGTACAATATGTGGAAAATAATGTGTTTTTTAACCTTAAACCACATAAACACATTTCATTACACCAAATACACATAACAATGTTCTTTTTAGCAGCATCCTATGACCCCTTTAACACACTGAATGGTGATACACTATATATATCTCGTTTTTGTTTTTAGTAGGCACCCAAGCAAAAGAGAATGACTCCCTGTCACAATTACTGTAATTAAAGTAAAAAATGATGTCAAGCTTTTCTTGTTTTTTTTTCTTTTCTTATTTGGCAGATGCTGTGATGACCAGCTTTCTGGCAGCAACAGAGTTGGACTTGAGGAATGCAGTTGGGAAGCATTTTAAACAAGAAATAAAACCAATAATTAATAACTTCCTTTGAGAAATTCACTGTTGGTTGTTTTATTTGTTAAAATAAGTAAACCAACAAAAGGGTTTATCTTTTTTTTTATGTTTTAATTTATCCGTAATGTTTTAATGTTAAGTGTGATAACATGCTCTTGATTTGTATTAAAAAAAATATATTTTAAATATTTTATATTTATATTAAAATTATCTTAAGTTGTTAAAAACTCCAGATATTTTAAATCATAATATTTATATTTAAGTGTATTGTATTTATAACATTTTATTTTGTCATTAATTATTTTGTATTTTTATCATTTTGTATGGTCTTAAGTTGTCCAAGTTGTTAAAAACTCCAGATATTTTAAATCATAATATTTATATTTAAGTGTATTGTATTTATAACATTTTATTTTGTCATTAATTATTTTGTATTTTTATCATTTTGTATGGTCTTAAGTTGTCCAAGTTGTTAAAAACTTTATTTTTCTTAATAAAAGCTGTATATTTAATTTGTTTGGCTGGATTGCCATTTTGTTGTCTATTAGATGTATATACTGTATGTAGGGTTTCATTAGCTGTCTATTTGATGACTAGTCTATTCTTGGGCTATGGTTAAACGTCTATTAAATTTTCACTGACAGCCCAAATTCAGCCTTGTTTTAGCCTAGACCCATATTCACCGTGTATTAGACGTATATATGTAGTCGTTTATTAGCGGTCTAATTGATGACTAGTCTATTCTTGGGCTATGATTAGACGTCTATTAAATTTTCACTGACAGCCCAAATTTAGCCTTGTTTTAGCCTAGTCATCTGGGCTGTGTTTAGGAGGCTAATAGACGTCTTTTAAATGCAAAATTGCTTGCTGGGGACTTAGCCAAACCACAGATGAACGCTGATAACAGGAAACAGGAAATACTCAGATATGAAAAGTTTGAACTTGCAGACTGCATCACATACTCCTATGAGAAATACTATAGTCTACTATAGTTTTAAGTTGAAATATGTTTTTTGGAGAGTCTTAATGCTTGTTTATACAGATAATCGTATTGGTTACTGAGTTGTCATGTTAGGTACAGTTCTACTCAACTGAACAAAGTTCGCTTTGTGGAAGATATAAAACTAGTTTTCCTAAACTTTGATATAAAGTACACTGATAGAGAAACACACATTTGAGTAACTGGGCATTTGAGTCAAAACCTTATAATGACTGAGCCAGTGTTCTTGTGACAACTGTGTGAGAACAAGCACCAGACCAATGACTAATCAATACACAACACCATCACCTGTTTTGTGTTTAGTCATTGTTTGATTTACAAACATTTACCATGGTAACCACAGTTTCCACCTAAATACTTAAGATACAGTACTACAGTAAATTGTAAATATTCTTCAACACTATACACTTTCAGAATCTTTCTGTCATTTTATGTTATTGTATTATTTATTTATTTATTATTATTTATTTATTTTATTTAATTTCATTTAATTTTGTTATTTAATTAATTTATTTTTTGTGAAACTGGTGGATAATACACAGAAGTATCACACTTTGGTACCTAAGCTATGTGAACAGAAGCTTACCCTGAAAAATTTGTTTAAGTAGCGCCCCCTAGTGACTGACTTTGTTTCTTTCTTTCGTTCTTTTTTCTTTTTTTTTGTTACATGCTGCCATCTGCTGAGTGCTCATGTCTGTTTAAATGTTGAAAGCCCATTTTCTAATGCATTCCCTCTCTTTTTTGATGAATTCTTAGGTAAATATCAGTTCTATTGCATTTTTACACTTCATATTCTTCTTTGTATTGCACATTATTCATCCCTTTGAAAAGCAACAACTCAGACCACTGACAACACACCACTTGTACCTGTTGCTGTCTGAATACTGGCACATATAAGTGTGAAGACTCATGTTCCTCACATTTTACAGAACTTATTTCATCTTAGAAAGACAGACAAACTGTTCTTTGATTTAACTCTACCAGTTTGATTTGAAAACAAGAGGCCTGGATATTGTTTTTAACTGGTCATACACAATAAACAGGTTTAAATAATCATATTTTAACTCTCATCTGTGCATTTTCAATTCAGTGGCTATTAACTTTTCTCTGTTTGATTATTCATGTGTGAATTATGGCTCAGATCAACAGTTCCTGTTCCATCAACAATCCCCTGCTGGTAGATGTGGTAACTACACCATTATTCAGGAAATCATTTAATTTTCAAGCAACATAAACTGAAGTAATGACATTATGTTACAGTATATGCACTTTTGTTTTGTCACTGGTCATGACGTCATTTTCCTGTGACTCCATGGTGATTAGTCACATGACATTTATAGCTCATGCAGGCATCAAGATTGGGGTTTCAAAAAGTATCATGTCTGGCTGTTTCCAGTTATATACAATGAAACCTCGTCTACTGTAGAATACAATCGTTTTCACGGCTTCATGTGCCTTCAAATATTACCCTACAATCTGTAGTTTGCTGTTTTGCATATTGTGTCTTTTATATTGCTTGTCAAAGTGCATATTGTCTGGTCCATGCTTGGTGTTGCTGCAGAGAAATTTCCTGTCAGGTATGAGAAAAGGCTGACCTATCAGTCAATCAAGCAATCAATCTAGCCCAACGGAAATCACATATGCTTGCATGCAGCGATAGCGTGCCACCCTTCGTTTCAAAGGTTTGCAAAATGCTGCATCTGTGTTTATTTATTTATTGACGTTGCTCTACATATGAATGTGTCTTAGAGCCTTATGAAGGTTTTGTGAGGAAGGAAAAGTTTTGTGGGCCACTTGCAGTCCCTGCCAAGCCTCATCCGATCTTTACATAGAACATGCTAAAGGTCACATGATGTTGCAGTACACCACAATGACTTTCCCTAGTCTGTCAGACACATCTGTAGATGCACGTCAAAAGATGCCCGCTTATTATTCTCACCAGCTTTGCTTTCTGCAAATATTGTACAATATTTGGTTACACTTGATTTTAAAGGTATCCTTGTTACAGTGTAATTAACATTACTTAACAACATGTACTTACTTTAGGGGTAGGAGTAAGGTTTAAGGTTAATTTCTTGTAATTATGCATAATTTACTGTTATTCCTATAGTAAGTATATATAAGTGTAACAAGGACACTGTAAAATAAAAGTGCTACACAATATTAAATCTGATATATCTTGACAATATTAAGGCCTTCAAACCTAAATACACCAATTTCTATTTGGTCATTGGAAAATATATATTTTTTCTAAGTAAATCAATTACATAAAAATTTGAGCTTAAAACAGTTTAAAAAGTTTTTCTGTTTTGAATTTTTATGAGGAACATTCAACATCACATTAATTATATCCAGATGAAACACTCGCATATGACTTAATGGGTTTGATTATTAGAAATTGTGTCCTCTGTACTTGGAAAAAGGCTGTGTGTATGCTTAATGCGTATTTCCCCCCGAGTTCGGTGAATGACCACAGAGACTTTGTCACAGAAGCCCCTTCTAAACACGAACCACACCAGCAGACTGCAGGAAACCAACACTAACTCTCAATATTACCAAGTTAGAAAGAACTCATGAAGAGCAATTTCAGAATATTTACAATGTCATTTACATTTTGTTTTTGCTAGAAATGTTGGTAAAATATTAGCTTATAATAAATATGTACATATATAAGCTAATATTTTAATACATACATTAACTTTTAATTTAACAATTTGTTAATTATATATTACCAGAAGCATAACCATGTAGTGAAAGTGAAACACTGTAGTCACTGATATTGTAATAGTCAGTCAATATATAATTTGCAAAGTTCATTCATTATTTATTTTATTCTTCATTATGTGAACATCTTGGTACTTTCCACTCTACGACACACCTGCATTAGCAGTGACCATGCTCTCATGGTCATGTAAACCACTGAATTTAAGAAAGCTGTGAATGTTCCTGTCTGTACACAGTGGTCGTCCGTGAGGTGATGAGGGGGTCTTTTGTTTCCAAGCGGACAGGTGACAGTTTTGTGGGAGGAAGCTCTGATGCTCATTTTCCCCTCTGTGAGTATTCATAAAAGTGCGAGTTGTGGTGAGCCGAGATAATACGCATCAGACTCACAAGAGAAGATGAGGTGTGTTTCAGTAACCCTTCTGCTGTGCCTGGCTACAATGCTGCTCGCTCAAGTTACCTGCCAAAGTAAGAAATACCTCCATATTACTTGATATTAATTCCTCAAATTAATTCAAATATATTATGTTATTTTGAACTAAATGGTGCTGTCAGCATGAATGTCTGTGTTAAAAATGCTTTTGTTTCCTTTTGGTGTTTGTAGTAAGTGGCCGGTCAAATTGCCTTTGTCTCAAGACATCAAATCGGGTTCCCCGCAAAGAAAATATTGAATGCTACATAATACAAAATGCAGGCGTCTGCCATATTGATGCTATTTTGTGAGTTCTTTTTTCATATTGAGGCATATATGCGGTGATATATCTCAACTATTCAACAATATTTCATGCTAATATGTCAGAATACTATTTTTTTTTTGACATTGACATTTGTACATTGACATTTTACCCATAACATTATGTACAGTTTAAATTTGGGTAATCATTTGTACTTTTTATATTTTGGTGTATTGTCATGCTAAATTGTTACTTTTATGTACTTACAGGTTTAAAACTGTCAAAGGTCGCTTCATTTGCGCTGATCCACTAAACCCTTCGGCAAGAAAGGCCAGGAAATATGTGGACAACAAGAAGAAGGCAACTGAAACAACATCCCGTCCCGTAAACTCAGCATCAACATTTAAAACAGCATGAATGCTGAATACCACATCACAATGGATTACAACGGGATGAACTAAGAACTACTTCACTTGAACTATGCAAATTTTTAACATATGTCTGTGATGTTTGTGTTGGATTTTTTTTAATTTGCACATGGTTTATTAAAATGTATTGCGTAATGTATATTGCAGTGCTTGTGCATGATTTTTTTATTGTGCTTGACAATTATTTTAGCATCATAGAGATACTATTATAGGTTTTATTAATATTTTGAATGATTTTTTATTTGTTATTTTAGTTTTAGTTCAAATCTGAGTAATTTTGTTGAGTGATTTTGTCATTTTTATAAATATGTTTTTAAAAATATATCTAGATAGTTTTCATTTATTTTTACATTTAGTTTTAGTTATTTGAGTATATCAAGATGAACTAAAGGAAAATGAGAACTGTCATTTATTATTTATTAAAATAATAAAGTTTTCAGTTAAAGTTTATTTTATTCCAAGTAACAAAAATGTGTGTGTGTGTGTTTAAGTTTCAGTTAACTATAATAACCGTTCAGCTCAATTTAGTGTTTTTCCCAATGTGGTTAATAACCAATAAAAATGTAAGTGGCTGTGTGATTATGTTTGCTGAATGTAAAATTCTAAACATTCTTTGTTCTTTAAAATTCCTTATGGCAGGTAAAAAAAAAGTAAATGAATGAATAAAATGTGTTAAAATGTTAATTCTGAGTAATTTTGACCTTTGTGTGCATGAATTTGTGTGATTGTGAGTGTGTCAGTGGGTAGATAAAAGATAGTAAAATGTTCACACATACACTGTTAACCCTTGTGTGGGTTTAGACACTCAAATCCACGTAGTTGTGTGGGTTGTTCCCCTTTCACTGTACAAATACGTCACACAAACTATAGCATATCTAACTCATGTACAATATCTTACATTTAAATACTTTTTTTTCCCAATATGGTATTAGCATATGAAAAACGGTTAGACAACGCATGTGTGCATGTGAAGAACTGCAGTTGTGCACATTGAAACCCCCATCCCCTTGCATTATGCATTACATTCCATGCACACGTGTTGGTTTGAGAGGAGGTGGAGTAGATCACAGGGTGGGTTTTGTGAGAAAATGTGGGTGCTTAAAGAATAGGTTGGTGGGCAATGTGTTTTCCATAAAGTCAAGCTTATGTCTCCGGTGTACTTATGTAAACATCAGTAGAGCCTAGTTGCATTTCACATTTGTTCAGACTACTGCATTTATATTATGGCTAGCAGTTTATACCATGGAGACGTTCGTATCTGTCAGATAACATGAGTGTGCCTTGTCTGGATTTCTAATTTAAAACAAGAGCAAAGGTCAGTGAGGTAAATGAAAGCTAGGTCAGGTTTTTGTGGTCTGGGATGATGGTTGCATATCATAGCAGCCTATGCAACATCATAATGATGCCACTGCTAGCAGCTATCACTCTACAGATCTTACCTGGTTTCCCACTGAAGTATAACAGGGTTGAACCTGGTTAGTACCTATATGGGAGACCTAGGTTGCTGCTGCAAGAGGTGCTAGTGTGGCCAGCAGGGGGTGCTCACCCTGTGGTCTGTATGGGTACTAGTACTCCAGTATATTGACTCAAGAAGCATCGTCCTTCAGATAAATCATTAAACTGATGTCCTGACTCTCTGTGGTCATAAAAATTCCCAAGATGTCATAATCATCCCTACACAGTATCTATAGATTGGCCTTATCGCTCTGTCTCCTCTCCACCAATAAGCTGGTGTGTGGTGGGCGTTCTGGTGCACTATGGATGCCATAGATGCTCTAGCACATGCCATAGATGCTTGGTCGGATCGAGATCTGGGGAATTTGGAGGCCACGGCAACTCTTTTTCATGTTCGTCAAACCATTCCTGAACAATTTCTACAGTGTGGCAGGGTGCATTATCCTGCTGAAAGAGGCCACTGCCATCAGGGAACATCATTGTCATCAAGAGGTGTATGTGGTCTGCAACATCCACATGAATGCCAGAACCCAAGATTTGCCATCAGAACATTGCCCAGAGCATAAAATAGTCACCACCGGCCTGCCTTCTTTCCATAGTGCACCCTGCTGCAGTCTCTTCCCCAAGCAAATGACACACACACACACACCCGGCCATCCAGCTCATCTGAAAGAAAACATGATTTAACAGACAGGCAACCTTTTTCCATTGCATTGTGGTCCAGTTCTGATGCTCACTAGGTGGACTGGGGTCACCAGGTTGACTGGTCTGCAGCTACGCAGCACCATACTCATCAAACTGTTATGCATTGTGTGTTCTGACACCTTTCTGTCATTGTCAGCATTATGTTTTTCAGCTATTTGAGCTACTGTAGCTCTTTTATGTGATCAGACGGACAAGCCTTCACTCCCCACATGCATCAGTGAGCCTTGGCTGCCCAAGACCCTGACTATGGTTGTTCTTCCTTGTGCCGCTTTTGGTAGGTACTAACCACTGCATACCAGGTACACCCCTTGAGACTTACCGTTTTAGAAATGCTCTAGCCCAGCTGTCTGAACATCACTATTTGACCCTTGTCAAGTCATTTGGCCCAAGTCACTCAGATTTTTTCACCCATTTTTCCTGCTTCCAACACATGAAATTCAAGAACTGAATTTCACTTGCTGCCTAATATATCCCACTCCTAGACAGGTGCCGTTGTGACAATATCATCATTGTTATTACCTCACCTCTCAGTGGTTTTAATGTTGTGGCTGATCAGTGCAATGTTACACCTTTTTATGCCAGTTAAATATTTTTGTTTGTAAAATAGAGCATTGAATTTGAGTTTAAATGTCATTGAATATTAACGTCTCATTGACCAAAATTAGTTTTTTTCATTTACAATCATGCTGCTATTCAGGGAAAAACAACATCCTTGCTTGTGTGAAATTGCTTAACTATATTGAATTTTATGAATATAAATCACATAAACTACAGGGTAATTTTTACACAATGTCTGCATGGGTCTCCTCTGGGTGCTCTGGTTTCCCCCACAATCCTAAAATGTGTAGGAGAATTGAAACTATAAATTGTCCGTAGGTGTGAATGTGTGTGTATCTGTGTATGACTGGCCATCTGTTCAGGGTGTTGCCCAAGACGCTGGGATAGGCTCCATCCTCACAACGCGGCAGAGGATATAACGGTATGGAAAATGGATAGATGGATGGATCTTACCCCAAATCTTTTTAATAATTTTGGTGCCATTGTCTCCCCAGGCTCCCATTCATTTCCAACTGTGGTGTATCTGTGGCCTGATGATGGTAGGCTCTTTTTAAGTGTAGGCCTGTTTCAATCTAGCCAACTGGAATTCACATGATGCAAGGTGCATAAATGTACATTTGTTGTTTATTGCCAGGTCTCTAGAATGTTTCTTAGTTTACAGAAAGGTTTTGTAAGTTGACATCTCTGGGGGAGGAAGTTCTGATGTTTGTTTTCCTGCTTGCGAGTGTTCATAAAAGTACAAGTTGTGGTGACCCAAATTAACATCAGACTCACAAGAGTGAAGATGAGGTGTGTGTCGATAACCCTTCTGCTGGCTACAATGCTGCTTGATCAAGTCACCTGCCAAAGTAAGAATATTTAAATATTTGCATATGTTATTTAAATTTTCTCCATATTTATGCTTCACATTCATTCAAATAAATGATTCTTGTTTGATTTAAATGATCTTGGCTAAAAGAATGCCAATTGTTTGTTTGTTTATTTTTTTGTCTGCCCTTACAGGATACAAAAGCATCGTTGACATGATTGCAAAGATATTATTTAAACTGAGCTGGATGTTGACATCACTGAATTCAATGATGAACTGTCTTTAACTGAAAAATTAGTGTTTACAATTGTCATTGTCACAATCTGTATTGTTAAAAGCGCTATATAAATAAAGGTGACTTGACTTGACAAAAAGTAGGCCTCTACCCTATTGATGCCATCCAGTGAGTTCTTTTTTTTCTTATGGAATTATACAGTACTGTGATAGACCTCAGACAACCATTAAGTATTATATTTAATGATAAATCTGAACTATATGTCAGAATGCCCGTTCTTCTGACCTTAGTACATTTGTATATTTTTTTGTTTTGTATTGTCATGTTAAGTTGTTAGTTTTATGTATTTACAGATTTATAACAGTAAGTGGTCATTCCTTTTGCTCAAATCCTCAAAGGCTTTGGGTGAAAAATGCCATACGTTTTGTGGATGAGATGGATGCATTTGAAAAGACAACATGCCTCAAACTCCACATTCAATTCATTTCAATTAAATTCAATTCAAGTTTATTTGTATAGCGCTTTTCACGATACAAATCATTAAAAAGCAGCTGTACAATATATGTTACTACAATATATTTAGTAGTAGCTTATCAGTGTCAGTAATTAAAGACATAATCAAACAGACTATGAACACTATTAACAGCAATTATTATATGTTGCAATCAAACTTATAGCAAAATGTGGTAGTTCTGTAAGTTGTTTCAGGGTTGGCATCATCTGAGGTCCTCTGAGGGATGGCATCATCTCTTCTCAGGTGTTCTGGATCCAGACTGAAGCTTGTGTAAATCCTAGTTACCTGTAGTATCCTGAACTATTTAAATTTGTTAACACAAGTCTGTCTATCTGTCTATATAATTTTTGGGCAAAGGGCAAAACGAACGGCCAGTCGCTACAAAATCAGGGAAAGGGGGAACAATATATATATATTTTAAACATTCTTTTTGTCAAGACAGTTTAACTGAAATAACTTGCAAATTATATATTGATATATATATATTGTTTCACTTTGATAAAACTTGGACAACTATTCAACACCATATTTCATGATAAATTTAGGCTAAAATGTCAGAATACTATTTTTTTGTCCAGGCCTTATTTTAGTGCACTGAATTTTTACTCATAACATTTTGATACAAAAACTCATACATTGTCATGTTGATGCCTTTTCTTGAATTTTATGGATGTTTTTAATAATTTTGGTGCCATTTCCTTATTGTTACTTTCTGACCCTGGTGTGTGTGTGTGGCGTGATTATGGGGACGGGGCTCTTTTGTTTAAGTAAAAT